GAAGTTAGTACAACTAATTATAATCTAAATTATCTTCATTCCCATTAGTTTGTGTTTTTCTCTTTTCATCCTGTAGAAAGGTGAGTAGGTCAAAAATGTTTTTGGTCTATTAAAATTTATTGCTGAGTTATTATTGAGTTATTTGAGGTATGCTGTTTATTTTATTCAGTTATCTATCCAGTTTCAGTAATTCTTATAATTTGTTTGAAATTTGTTACTCTAAAAGTTGGCGACCTACTGGTCTATAGAATTTGCATACATTACAAAATATTTTGATGTTAGTTTATGTAACATTCTTATATTCTCAGTTAAGTCTTTTTACATATGAAGGGCTAAGTGCCAAAATATGACTGTGCAATTTCAAATTACAGTAGAACCTCGATTATCCGGACTAATTGGGGATGAAGGTAGTCCAGATAAGGAAAAATCCGGATAATCGAAACAAATACTTTAATTTGTCTTTTAATGATAATACAACACGTTTTCTTTTCGATGACATATCGGTAATATTAAAAGTAAATACTGTATTTAAATCGTGATCAAATTTTCAAGAAACAAACGTTCTATTGAATTTGGACTACTACTGACCAACGCTAACAGACTACCTATTGTTTAAAAGGCCCTCTGGTGGTGCAAGAAGACGATTTTATAAAGTAAAAAGCAGTTAAAACTGCATTTTTATGAATAAAAATTTGACAAACTATTTATCATTTTATGACGAGTAAAATTTTTTCTTCGCGTTCGCGGCTTTTAAGTAATGCATAAACCTTCGAGGCGCGAGGCCCTTCGGACCGCGAGGCATAGGCCACCGCCTATGCCTCGCGGTCCGAAGGGACGTCCCACGTCGTCCATGCCTTACGCCACCTTTGGTCATAGAAATGATGTAATTTGAATATAAATTATTTATAAATACGTATGTCAAGTTATATTTTTATTACTACGTAAAATGTATTAACAGTTTATGACCACTGTGCTGAATGAGACGTTGTTGAAACAAAAAAAGTTATGCATTCCATCACATACATAAACAGTGTCGTAATTCGCCAAGTGCAAATCAGCAAATTCGTAAAATTTTTGTTTATTTTGAACAATCTGGATAATCGAAAATCCGGATAATGGAGGTCCGGATAATAGAGGTTCTACTGTATTTTGAAAAAATCAATTTTTTTTTCTCAAATTTTCCTGTATTGATTGATCAAATTTTGGTTAGGATAGTTGACTTGAAGCAAAATAAAAGAATTAGACAATTCAATATGATATTTGTGTTATAAGTTTTGCCAATAAAACATTAATTAAAATTAAAATTTTTTTTATACAAATATATATTGTTTTGGAATTTATACTGGCTATATGTCGTTTTGAAAATTTCCAGTGTGAATTATTCAATAGTCTTTCTGACTAATTTGTAAATAATAAAACAAGTACAAAGTTTAAAGCAAAAAACTAAGCTAACAGTTATTTCACAATTTTTATTTGTTGTGTGTGTTTGATGCATTTTTACTATTAGCCACTTCCTTTTACAATTAATTTCTGTCTATAAAGATACAAACATGATAATGTGATAATGTTTCTATCATATTTCCGTCATGATGCAATTTTTTTGTCAATGTATTTCTTTCGATAAACACTATTGTTCTTTATACTGTAAACTTTGAAATTTAGTTTTTTTTATTTGTGTCATTTATTTATGACAGAGATTTGATTCTTTCTTCAAATCATGTAAGTTTTTTCTTTTTATAAATTTCTTTTTGCTTTTTTTAAAAATTTTTCAAAATCAAAATACTAGTTTTTCTAGTTCAGTGAATTGCATTTTAAAATTGTTTAAAACTATATAAATGTTCCAAATATTCAAATTTACACTAAGATAAACTAATAATAAGCCAACAACTTCTGGATGTTGGTTTATGTAGCTAAACTAATTGTTCAAATGTTCTTTATTTTAAATTTAGGTCCATGTTCTTTATTATTTAAATTTAATTAAACTTGTGTATAAAATGACAAACTGTTGTACTGTTCTATTAAGGATGTCAGACAATAAAGAAATCTTTATGACACTTTAAATTTCTCAATAATTGATTTTTTATTAAAAAATATCAACATTATGTGGAACAAAATTAGATTAAGAGTATAATTGATCTTAAGTATTAAACATATTTTGTAGAAATAAAATAAATAAAAATATTTAATAAGGTTAAAAAATAGTTCAAAAATTAAACCAAAGTAAATGATGATAAACTAAATTAAAAATCTTAATACAAGCTTGTTTAATTTTTTGATTGTTTTGTAAAGTTTTGTTTTATAACGTGTATTTATTTTTGTTTGTTTTTAATGATTTACTATTAAAGGAATACAGTCAAACCTTGGGTTATGAACAGAATTTTGTATGCCATATTTGCTCTGGTTTATTTATGTACAATAACTCAGTTTCCAAACAAGCTACTTGGCAGAGCCGGCCATCAATGGTCAACTTCCTATACTTCCCATGTTAAAGAAAGTCAATGGCCTGACCAATCAATGACATGACTACCAATTCAGAAGTGGTGTCAAGATTCTCCTCATGTCATTAGACGTCACAACATGAATCATCAATGAAGTTGTTTAAATTAGATTTCAATGTGTTTAAGAGTAAAATACTACCAGTCACAACATTATTTTTGGTTAGTCATGGATAATATGGCATGTTTAAACAAAAGAATTATTTATACAATGATACCTCAGTTTTTGTCGATAATCCGTCTGAAAACAATTGGCAAATTCTGAAACTGCAAAAACCGAAGCAATTATTTCCATATGAATCAATGTAAATCCAATTAATTTGTTCTAGACACTACAAAATACATACCAAAAACACATTGTATAGAGAATAAATAGAGTGTTTAATATTGAAAATGATAATAAATTAATATAAAATGAATATAAAAGACTAATGCAAAGAATAAATGAACGTTTAACATGAAGGGCTGCTGGCTGTGGAAACTTTCATTGGTCCCATTATGATGCTAAAAGGGAAGGAAACAATGGAATTGTTTGGCTTTTTTTAAACTCTTTCTATCCCTTCGCCGTTCAGCTGTGTAAAACCACGCTGTGTGGTTCGTTATCTTCTGTATATATTTGTCGCGCAATCTCTTGTACACTCATTCACCAATTATGTGCTTTCCTATGCACGGGCCACTTTACTTCTATCGCCTTTACGCTCAGCAATTGATGCCCAGCAATGGCACACTTGTAATCTACATTCTTCCTCTTTCTCTTCCCCGTCTTCCCCCCTCTTTCTTCAATCCCCCTTATTTCCTTCCTTCCTCTCCCTCTCTGGCTATGCCTTTCGGTGCGGCCAGGATCTATCAACTAACTAACTATCCTGTAGGCACTAAGAGGGCTTCTTTTAGCAAACCCGTTACGGGTTCTACCAGACCCACAATGGGGCAGAGGCTGGGTGGTGAGTGATGGGTCCTGACATATCCAGACGGACCACTCCCGAAAAATTCCTGGGGATTTTTTCACCCATGAGCATTAGATCACGGGTTCCCCAGAGCAGTAGGCTGCCACCTTTGACCGCTCAGCCTTCCGGCTGTCATAGAGGAGTTGTTTGGCTAAATGCGAGGGGAGGTAATTCTCACAAAACGAGAAACAATGCCTCACTGAGCAGGAAAACGCATGGGTTGCCCTTTGTTTTCACAAAATTAGCAGTGAGGTTGCGTGGGCACGCCAATGAAATCCAAGGCAACTGACGAAAACAAAGACAAATTTTTCGCAAAAAAGTCAACAAAAATTGAGGTATTGCTATAATTTCTATGGGAGTATATAATACCATTTTTCCACCATAAAATTTTTTTAACTATCACTATGGGTTGTTAACACTATGTTATATGAGATTGAGGCAGTGGAAAGATCACTTGCAGGTACTGAACAAAAAACACAAGATAGTGGAATGTGCTCTTTGTGTCAATGTTTGTATATAGGTTATGTTGTTAATTTTAGTAGTTGCTTTGTTATACCCTAAACAATTTTACTTACTAGTATGTACAAAATGAGTGTGCCAAAGAAAAGCAAAACTTATGAATTGTAAATACGATGAATGAAAATAAAATTCTTTGTTGTTATTAAATAATAAATGCTGCTGTTTATTTTATGCTTTAGTATCTTTAACTAAAAGAGGTCCTGGAATATCAATTACTGTATGGTAAATAAAAATAACTGTTTTGCAGCATAATTTTATAAGAGTGGGTTAACAAACTCTAATAAAATAATATAAATTTGATGGTAGATCATTTAGTAGTTTCGACTCATAAAAATCATCATACCTTAATATTAATTGGCAAACTCTGGTATAATGTATTAAAAGTGAAATCTTTATATTTTTGATTTTGAGGTATTTTTATTTCAAAATTTTAAAAATTTATTTTATGACATTTCAACAGTGAACTTTTATTTTAATTAAGATTTATAATAATTTATAAATATTTATTATATGAAGTCAGAACATCTCAACTTTTTAGAAGGCAAATGAAAGTTTTTTTATTTTTAAAGAAGTATTTTTTGGCATTTGATGATTGCTTTCAAGGAAGCAAAAAACATTTATGTAAAAATAAAAAACTTGTTAAAGTCATTTTTCTTTTTTATCTCAATAATAGTGAATAGTGAACAGTAGTAGCAGCATTAAAAAACAAATTTTTGATCTTCTCAATTACTTTAATTTCAATGGAATAAATTATTAATTGCATAAATAGTTCTCATTCAATACTGAAAGGCAGTATAATATTTACCATAAATGAAATAATTTGCTAGAATACTAAACATAAAAATTCCTTAAAATTGAGATATTCATAATGCATTTACAGATATGAATACAGTATATGCAATGCATAGCTGTATTATATATATAATATCCATTGTATTGTATATATTTATAAATACTTCAATAATAATTTAAACACACGAATTTTGTTATGCAAAACTACTTTAATAATTGTAATATTGTATTGTTTTGTTATTATGTGAAGGTTCTAAGAAAATGTGGTCTTAATCCAGATTCTCAAGTATCAATAAGTTATGTGGATGAAGAAAATGATAGGGTAATTACTTTTTATTATTAGTGTAAATATATTTCTCAATTATTTAATTCAATGCCATTATTTAAGCTTAATCTTTACTCTCTTTTATTTCTTACTTTATAAATTTATTATATTCCTGTAAAGAATAAGTATAGTTTAATTTTAATAATATGATTTTTTTTTTTTTAGATTAGAATAGATTCTGAAACAGAATTTCTTGAAGCTGTGAGAGTAAGATTCTTTGTTTCAAATCAGTATAAGTTTTAATAATATATAAATTTAATAAGAGTTAAATAATTTTATATTAGTAGAAGTAAAGACTATAGATCAGGTATGGCCAAAAAGTTTATCAAAATCAAGTGGCTGATTACAGCATCACTTTTGGTCAATCGTCAATAATATGCTTATTAAAATATGAAAAGCATTTGTGATTTCAATAGGAATATAATAATAATAATAATTCTATGTTTTCCAAAGAGAAATCTTAGTCATCTGTTATGGGTTAACAACAATAGTAATGAACTCTATGAAGCAATGTGTGCTCATCTTTTTTTCTAACTGTAGCAGCAGTGTATTGATACATTGGAATGTTCTTTGTATCAATAGCCATAACTAGGTTATGCTGTTAATTTAGAAATTGTTTTAGTTTTAATTTTAGTTATGTGCAAAATGAGTGCCTCAAAGAGTAGCAAAACATAATTTTGTTTATGAGTGGAAATAATTTTAAACTTACTTTTATTATAGTGGAAGATAATGCTGCTGTTTAATTTGTTTTAGTCTCTTTCACAAAGACAGAGTTAACCTGGAATGTCAATTACGTGCAATAAATAAATCTGTTTAACTATTTTGCAACATAATTTTGTAAGAGTAACCCTTAAGGACTTATCCCAAGATATCTCGGGCAAGTTCTATAGCGTTACATAAAACTCGGGCATTTGGACTCCTTAAAAATTTTTTTTTGGATTTTTGGAATGTTTTTTAAGTCTCCAAATTTTTTCAAATTTTTTTCCTGTGCGAAAAAATTTTATCGCAATTTTAATTTACCTTTAATGACGCACGATTCACGCTTTTATTGCTTTTTAATTGTTTTTTAATGGGAGTTTGATATCAAATTTCATTCATCGTTCTAAAGTTGTAGTGCACGGATTTTACTTCGGTAAAGTTATTTAAAGCTAGTTTCTGATATCAAAAACGACCTTCAATAGTTCTTTAATTTTTTTAATTAATAGATTTTATTATATATAAGTTTAATTAAGTCGGGGGTCGGAAATCGGAATAAAAATTTTAATTTTTTAAAAATATTTTAAAATATACGGCCAGCTAGTATTCACCCTACTATAAACCCATCGCCTCCCGAGACTTCTATGAGAATGTCCCGGGAAATCCAACTCCAGCTGTGTTCAAGGTCATCCAGCTGTGTAAACAATTACTCATCTGTGTCAAATTTCGCAGAAAGGCGAGACAATGGAAAATAAAGTTTGAAGCTTTTTCTTCAAAATTAACGCATTTCTTTCGTTTTTTTCAGTTTTAAGTATTTTTTTATGTTTAATTACATTAATATCAAAAATTGGAATGTCTCAAAGGAGTTAATAAACTTTATGAAAAAATAAAAATATGGTAGCAGCTTATTGATATTTTTGCCTCAAAGTAGATCACAAGATAATGTAAGTTGGTCATGCCTGATATGAATTAATACAACATACAAAATTAATGTGTTTTTATTTTAAATATCTTATTTTAAATGTACAATATTGAACACTACATACAATATTAATGACTGTATTCCAGTGACTTTGAAAAGTCACTGGAATACAGTCACCATTAACACAGCCATCCTTTATAGGATACATTTAAAAGACTTCAAAAATTTTGTTTTTGTATTTAGTGTTCAATATTGTACTTTTAAAATAAGATATTTAAAATAAAAACACATTAATTTTGTATGTTGTATTAATTCATATCAGGCATGACCAACTTACATTATCTTGTGATCTACATGTGATGTACATAATTACATGCAAATAATAAAATATTAAATGTGAAAATGTACCTACAAATGAATATATCAATAGTTTAGTTTCTACATTTATAAAAAAAACTTTCATGCATATACAGTACATACATGCCTATTTATTTTTTAACAATGTTGGAGGTTGATCCAGATAATCAGAGTCTGGATAATTGGAGTTTTACTGTATATAGAATTCAGTTTTCAATGAATATAATTAAAATTATCAACAATACTATTTTAGCCCTACAGTATGGCTAAAAATAGTATGGTTCTTTCATTAAAATCTTTTCAGGACAGTATTTTTACTTTATAAATATGTCAAAAAGTAAAAAAAAAAAATAGTTGATGCAAATTTATTAGTATTAAGTTTTTTTATGGATTATCTGAAGAAATATATTTGATAACTTATCTTGAAGATTAAAATCTAAGGATTTTAATCCTCAGATAAGTTATCAAACATATTTCTTGTTGAGAAAATTGGTCTGATCCTTTTATACAAAATTCTTTTTCAGCAATGGCACAAAAAAGATTTTTTGTGTCATTGCTGTATATAGTCAAAATAGAATTTCATGCAGCATTTAATATTTTTAATGTTGGAGATCATTTTATAAATTGTTTTTAACAAGTGACCTAAATCATACTTGAAAAATTTTCCAAATATACTAAATGTAAATGCTTTGTTTCTTTTTTTGTTATGTTGTGTAATAAGTTTGTTCAAAGATAAAATATTTGAGTTGTTTCAGACTTACACCTACATATGTTTAAAATATAATAGATAGGATCAACATATATTTAATAATATAAAAGCCATTGTCTCTGTGTGTGTGAATTCCTTATAACTCCTGCAATTTTTGTCCAGTCCAAATGAAATTTTGGTTATATTTGTTTTATGTTCTGACAGAGAGTATAGGATACTTATTTTGTGGAAATATTAGATATAGAATAAATTTTTTATTGATTTTGGATCAGTGATTGCACTTACATTGCAGTGATGTCAGTGACCTCATTTAGTTCATGCTTGAAGATGAAATTTCCCTTAAGTTGCATTTTTCAATATTTTGTCAAATGGTTTATTTTAAAGTTACTTCATTAAATTTAAACTTTAAAAAAATATAGCCACATCATGTTTCTACACCGATTAAAAAACAAAAACTTTTTAGTGACAACATGACATTCTATTATCCAGTCAGAAGTAACGATCTGACAAACCTGTTCTTTAAAATGTATTATTGCACATTAACTATACTTTGATGGCTACTTGATGTATAGAAACATTAGCTACTGTTCTTGAATTTCTTGAAATCTGTACTCGTCTCAATTCCTCAATCTACTTTCTCATAGAAAGTAGACCATCATGCTTGGCGAGGGAATTTCTAGTAGTATTAATAATAACTGAAAATTTAATCATTATTGTAAATTACCATTTCAAAGTATTGATACATTTAAAAGATGCTGTTAGTGCATAAAAAGTTCTGTCCTGAAATTATTTGAAGATTGCATATTGGTGATATAATAGTATTGCAATACATATTCATATTGCACTGATAACATTAATTTAGAATTACTAGTTGAAGTGATTAATAATAAATAACAGTGTAAATTTTTATTAGCTTAAGATGAAATCCTTTGAGAATACAATACTAAATAGTTTATACAGTAAATATCAAATAAGATAGTCATATTCTGAAGTTTATAATGCCATCAGGACATAATTTTTACAAACTATTTGTTTTTCCTGAATGAATGAAGGAGTTTCTAAAAAATAGAAAATAATGATTAAACAAATTTTTTAAATTAAAAGTTATAACTAACACTCTTAGCTTTGCTTAATCTGTATATATCAAACAATACAAAATGTTTTTGAAAACATTAGTTGTTTCTTGCATAATTTTAGATTTTTTCTAGTAACAAATATTAATAGAGATCTTTTTAGATGTTATTTGTTATATACAGAATATACATCAAATAATGCAAAAAGTATTAAAAATTTATAATATTTTGTTATGTACACACAAAATATATTCTTAAATTCATATTTTAAAATAATTAATTTTGAAAAGGTTGGTCAGAAATGTGGCAACAGATTAAAATTCCTTGTAAAAGAAGTAGAATCAGAGGAAAAGAATGAAATTCAACCATCTACTTCACCTGGAATTTTTAGCTACAGAGAATTAGAATCAGGAGAATTTGTGGTAATGGATAAAGTTCCTTGTTTCAAAACACATCGTGAGTCTGCTAGTGATGAGGTAAAATTATTATTTATTAATATTAGTATTATTATTTATTAGTATCATAGTTTAAATAAAGGAAAATCTTTTATTGAAATATTTTTTCTGTTTACAGTCTGTAAAACAGAAATCTGTTCATTCTGTTGAAGTTGCAGAAAATAAATCAGATAATTCTATTCCTTCCTGGTTGATTTCTTATATTACTAAAGTAAGTCTTATAAATAAATTTTATTTGTTAATAAAATAATTAACAAAAGACTAATTATAGTTAAAATTAATTCATAGAATATGAAACATTTTTATTTAATATAAAATGAACTTATTTGTAATTATATTCAAAAATAGTTTGTATCACTCATAAAAATAACAATGATTAAAAAACTAGACCATACTTAGTATTTAATGCTTGAATTTAAAGTATTAAATACTATTTTTCATATATTTTCAAATATTATTAGTTTGATTGTCCTGAAAACTTTCCAATAATTTTTTCTGCGAAATATTTATTTGAATCTTTTATTGCTTACTTATTTTACATCCTAATTATTACTATACTTTTATTGTATTCAGAACTGCATTAATATCTAGTCATACTCAGTTATGGCTAGAGGTTCACTTTCTTTATAGTTTATTTCACTGCTTACTACTATTATTTTTGTTCTGTATCTGTATAATGCCTTTAAAGAAATTGGGTTGGGAGTCTCAAAAGTGTTTAACACAGCTCTTGATTGCTTTAGAATTATTTTTTCTTATTCAAATACACATCACAGCTTTTTACATCAAATCTAATTAAAGTCATTTACTATTTACAGGTATTAAATAATAGTGAAAAAACTTAAAATATACTAAAAAATTTTAAAAAAAATGTTTAAATGTTTATATGTTGAGAGTTGTAAATAGTGGAATAAAAGTTTTGGAAAATTCAAAATCTTAAATTCTATATGAAGTTTAAATATTAAAATTTTAATCAAATTTATGTTTATGATAAAATTATAAAACTTTTAAAGGTTCTAATGTATTTTGTGGCATTACTATATGACCAATCAAAAATTGCAAAAATTGTTAATAATTTGATTAATTTAAAATATATTCAAATTTTTAGAGTTTTTTTGCACATCTAGAGGTTATTAGATTTAATTTGAGATCTCATTTGCTGCATTTGATTAATGGGAAGTGTGAACTTGTAACATCTTATGTATTGAATAAAAAGCCTGGATAATATTCTAAAAGGGCATTACATAAATAAAGGGTTCAGAAACATGCCAGACCTGGACTTTGTGCAGGCAATAAAATAAATGAAAATTTTTATTAATATCAAAACCCAAAATAATTACTATATATAATGTCAAAAAATCTATTTATTAGTATAAGCCTGAATATATACATTCAAAAAATAACTTTAGAGAATAACTTGAAAATAAAGATAATTTATCAAAACTCCAAAACAAATATATACAAAACTTTTCTGACAATTGGGGACTTACAAATTAAGCTATAACTATCTTAGAACTATCTCCACAAAAACTGACAAGCAAAATATTTTTAAAAATATCGAAAAATCACAATAAATCTTACTAATTTGTTACCAAAAAACTTTGTCATTGGGACTGAAACTGGAAAATTTTTTGTAAATTTTGCTTGATCCTTAGCACTGCCTCATTTAATTTTTCAATTTATTTCCTTCTTATAGTATGGTTGGGTTGATGTTATAAGCATATACCCACTCGACCCTATTTACATACTTACTCATTAATACTTCATTCATTCTAGTAATCAGTCTTGTTAATTCATGTCATTTCCTTATAAGTAGTTTTATAATTTTTTTAATGCATTTCTGATGACAATTTGGAGTGGGAGATCATTCTTTTAACTTCCTGTGGAAGTCTCCCCTCGAGATGTCATTTCTGGGTTGATGGCATCATAAGTTGCCACCAGCAGTCATTGTAGTAAAGTGAGTTAATTTTAAATTTTGTGGGGATGAGGTGTGGTAATATGTCCTTAATGAAATAAAACACCTCAAAATAAACAGAATAACTAAAAAAATAATCCCCAAACAAAATAGAGCAGGGTTGGAATCAACTCCTTACAAAGTAAGTGGCTTTGCTTTTCATATTTTTTATGTATAATTGTATAATATAAATTTTCTAATATTATTTTTCTTAAAGCATTTATACATAAATTTAAATTTTATACATTTATATCAACTTTTCAAGACTTAATTTTAAGTATAACCAAATTTTTGATTTTGTGATGTTAGAGAAATTTCTCTAACTGTATACAGACTCAACAACAAACAAACTGCCTACAACAAAAGCAACTGCAATGTAATGTGTATGCTCAGACAGTATTTATTCTTAATACTTTTCTATTCACAAATACAGACATAACAGTAACAAGTTGGCAGATCTATTTTAAAAAATAAACTTGAAATTTTCATTTAATTACAAATTATTTTATACCTCTCTTTTGAAATATAATAGTCAATATCAAGTAATACTAAAGCATAGCTATGCAAATTTATGTAAATAAACTGTCTTATCTAAAAAAGAAATTTATAGAACTGTTAACATTGCTAACATTGTGCCTCGAAAACAGCAATTAAATGATGTAGCAAATTGTGTAATAACCCTATGCCAAAATAACAAAATATAACATGAAACAGCCAATGAATTAAAAATTTATCCTTTCATTATTATTCTGAGTTTTGCAAAAGTATATTACAAAAGAAAATGCAAGCATGTCAAGACAAAGTTGTTGACTAGGAAAGGCAACAAAAGGAAATTATACTTACTTTATTTCATATATTGAGCATAATTTCAAGGCAACAAACATCATGATAAATAGCAGACAAATAGTAAATATTAAAAATTGTATTTGCAAAAATAACAGCCTGTTATCTAAAAGAAAAAGGACATAACTTCTTTAATTTAAAATGAAGAAAAAGCATTTCTCTATCTCAAAAATGAAACTCAAAAAAAAAAATCAAATGGGCAAAAGAAAAAAATAGACTGGTTGCTAGAACAATGAAAAAGTCATATTCATCTATGGATGCAGAAATTCCATCTATTACAATTTTTCATAGTTTCTACAGAAGTCAAGTAATTATAACTTATAGATAATACAGTAGAGCATCGAATATACGACCTCCAATTAACTGTCACATCAGTTAACCGACCGTTCTAGTCGACAAATTTCAAATATCTGCTAGTGATGTGGCACTACAATATTTCGCTATGTCTTGGCTACTTTAATATTATTTTTGTTAAATTTTTGTGTGTTTTAGCTGGCAACACGGCTCGACCATTGAAGGGAGACCAGTATTTAAACGAGACTTAATTTTCTAATTATGAGTGGTTGTTTGTTTTGTGAGCAATAAAATAAAATTTAAAAGTAATTTTTAATGATACAATAACAATGATTATTATTTTTTTAAAAAATTTGTTAGTCTTAACATTGATGAAAATTTAACACATAGTTGGTTAATAGCAATATATTAATATACTAATTACATGGGATATACTAATTTACTAATATACTATACTAATAATGTATTTTTTTCCTTCTTTTCGGTTATCTGATTTTTTCAGTTATCCGAACAACTTGAGTCCCCAATTGAGTTGGATAATCGATGCTCTACTATACTCAAAAAACTATGGAATGATCTTTTATACTTTCGAATATCTAATGCAACAACACTGATAAATGTTAGTTTGTTTACATAGAATCATCAGTATGCCAAATCTTAAACCAATCAGTGCATTCATACCAGTAATATGGAATGTACAGTATATACATACATTTGCCTGGAAGTACTCAGTAACTAAGGGTCTGTCTAAAATTGCTCTTATATAAGTTTGAGTTGCACATTTGTGATAAAACCTGGTCAATGATTCAGGCTTGCAACATTTTTTGATGTATGCTTTATGGCATCAGAATCACACTGGAAAAAAATGCAGGCAAAAAGACTGTGTAGTGTGTTCATGACCTAGACAAAAATAATTTATTAATAAATATTCAAAATTTTAAGAACTTTATGATAAAGTGGATTTTTTTCTATTTATGTATTTAATTACTTAATATAATTAAATTTATAAAATTAATCTAATCTGTATGTACTTATGATTTATTCTTCTGCTTCTATTCTGTTTTTTTAAATTTCAATATGTAACTGATTCAAATATCATTATTTTCTGACTTACAAACCTTATTTTCAAACATGTGCAAAATAGCTCAATGCTAGAGTTATTTCACTTCACACTGCTACTTGTGAAAGAACCTGTTCACAAATGAATATTTTATAAACTGTTGTTCATAATTGCTTAAGCCAGGCTTCTGTAGATGCTATTATGAGAATTGTTGTAGAAACACAACTTTTACAGACATTTAATTTTTGGCAATTGATCACTGGATATATAAGAAGAATAGATGCATTAGACTGAAATAGTTGCTAAAGTGAACATGAGCACCTTGTTATAAAAGGTGCTCTTATGCCTTCATAATTTTATGTCAATTCTGTTCCATATATTACTTGATTAGGACATACATTTATATAATGAAAAGTTGCAAAATTTGACTAAATTTACACTGATCTGAAAGCTCCTTATTCTGCACCATTGTAAACTTTTTCCATGGGTGGTCCACGCACAAAACTTTCTGGCTACATCCCTGAAAGTGAAATACTTAATTTACACAAGAACAGAAAGCTACAGTTTTGTTTGTTCAGTAAACATTGCTAAACTTTTGTCACATAGTTACATTACAGTTACTTTTTTCTTATAAGTAAAATTGTTCAATATTTGAAACATGATTACTCTAAAACCTTTATTAAAACAAATAATTAGATGTAATTATTAAATTTCAATATTTAAAAGATAGAAAAACACTAACTTTAGAGAATAACTTGAAAATAAAGATAATTNAGAAAAACACATAAACATAGATATTTCTTTAGAGAAATCATAAATTAAATTAAAAATTTGTTTTTCATAAATATTTTATTTAAAAAAAATTGGATTGAAAATACTTATATAAATCTTATTATATTTAATCTATATATTTATATTATAAATCTTATTATATTTTAATATTTATTAATTAAAAAAATCTAGTTTTATTGTAAATAACTACAAAAATTATAATTTTCACTTTAACACTATAAGTGAAAACTATATTTTTTGTAGTTATATACAATAAAAATATTTTTTATTAAAACAATTAATTTGTAAGACATGTCTAGTACTTTAAACATGTTAGAAATTACATTACAAATTATTTAAGTAAATTATACATAAATGAGGTGATATTGTTAATAATGTTTCTATAATTTTTAATTTTATTTTTTAGGTTAAAGATGATATGATTAAAGATGTTTCTGATAAAGTTATGGATACTATCCTTGCAATGTTTAAAGATATGAATTTAAATTCTACTCCATTATTAAAACATGAAGAATGTTCTTCTGTTACTCAAAAGCATGATAGTAAGAATAAATTATTCCTAACTTTATTTACATAGTGATTCTATGTAAAATCGTTATCGGTTATGAATATTTAAATGTATACCTCTCAAATTATTTCCTAGCATTAAGGGATTTCAAATATGAATTATTAATAATTTATATTACACTCATACAGTGTTTAAGCATGAATGTGAAATTATATGCTTATGATGTAAACACTGAAAATTAATGTATAGGAAAAGATACATATAATGAAATAGGACAAACAGTAGAATTTATTTATTACAAGAACCAAGATGATTAAGTATAAAAAAACACATTTTCCCACAAAGTTGGCTTTTTAGCAAAGTCCAGTTATCCTAACAATGAATCTGATTACTTTATAAATTATTGAACATTGTGAAACATTGTGATATTTTATAATGTTTACATGTTGAAAACTACATGATGCTAGTAAAATGAAACAAAATTATCAAGACAGAATCAAACAAATTGATATTGTTATGCCAATATTCTATTCACTTTATCATTGTGATTTTAATCTGTTAATTTACTTTCAATAATACAGTATGACTGAGATGACCACCCTCAAAACTTAGAAAGTTTGTCATCTCAATGGGTGTTCTTGTCAAAGGGGATGACAAAAATATAATGGATACATAATACTGTTTATGGTATTACTAAGTTATGTCAAATAGTAATACACATTTATTACATAGTATATATAGTATTTGTAGAATTTTACTTATGGAACCACTATGTAGGCAATATAGCAAAAACTATGTAAAAATGCTAATAATTGACTAACACTATATTACAAGAATATTTATTAATATCATATGCAATTCAGTATGTATTAAACATGAAAGTGTAATGGATACAATCTTAAGTATTTGATTTAAAGTAATCTGAAAAGACATTTACTTTCTTTTTTTAACTTTTTGATAAGATGATGCCTTCATATTTATTTTTATTATTTGGTCAGATTATTCACTTTCAGGTCAAACAAATTTCAAAACCTGTCAAATCTCACCCAAATTTGTCATTGATTACTATTTTATCTATCCCTATTAATGGAAAGATTAAATTCATTGGCTTTGCTATATTATTTAGTTTAATAAGAATAAATAGAACATAACAATAAAGCCAAAGATAAGATATTGAAGATATTAACAGCATATTATGTATATTCTCTGCAATAAGATCCAAATAGGAAAAAATAGGGAATTGAAGTTGGAAAAAAAAGATTGAGATGAATTTTTATACCTAATACAACAGTGGAACATGTCCAACGTTACACATTGTACTGGTACATTTGCAGAGTTTCAATTTTATCGTTCCTTATGGGATGATGAAACTGGTTGTCTCAAAGGGATTAAGGAAGATATAAACAATGAGTCCTATGAAATAAAAATTCTGTTCTAAGAAAATTTAGTTTTCTGGATAGATTTTACTGTATATTGTATTTGAACTTATTAGTTTGTTTTTCTCACATTAATAAATTTGTTAAAAAATCAATGGATAACATATTGACTTACAAATTAAACATTTTTTCTACAAGTTACTTATCTTATTGAGGAAATTTGATTGCCCTTAGATAAAAGGTAACAAAATTTCAAAAATTGTAAGACAAGCAAAAAAAAAAAAAAACATGTTGAACATTAGGAATACATTAAAATATTTTGACAAACATTTTACTTGTTGGAATTCTTTGGCCTTTTTGAAGAAATGGAAATTGTAAAGGTCTTCTAAACACCAGAGAATGTTTAACCAAGGTTTGTGTTTAAAGAGAACATAATGAATATAAAGTCAATGCTTAAACTGCTTCAAATAGTTTAAAATGAACAAGCAGTTAAAGAAAAGAGTTGTCTTGTGCTATGTTTAAGATGTTTTAACTACAGTCAACTTGCCTCAAAACAAACATCAATAAACCAAATTTTTACATTAAAGCAAATTTTGCCATACCCAGGCAAAATGCCATTATCACAACATTCATTTTCATGTGATAAAGCAAATAAAAATTTTACTGGAATTTGTTAAACTGAACTGTACTGGGGGGTTGTGAAAGTTTTACAATCTCCAAGAAATAATCCTATTTATAATAATGATTTTATTATTTATGTCAAAAAGTGTAAAAAGCAAAAATGGTATTGTAATAAATGTATTTTGAGCAAAATATTTTGTTCTCTTAGTAAGCAAAGATAATTCAACCTCCAACTGTAGAGAAATTCAAACATCTGATTTCAGCAGACCATTTTACTGTACTCAGGAAATAGAGGTTAAAGTTTAAGGATGTTCACCCCTTTAAATGGATGCAGTCCCATGAAAACACATACTAGTTTGCATATCAGGGAATGATGCCAGGTTGGCTACTTTGCACCAAATTTGTCTCCTTTTTTTACTCTTTTGGCACCAAAAAATATTTTCTACTTTTTCAAACAATTTTAACAGAAAAAAATCACCAGGTTTAGCTTTGCTTTATTTAATCATTCTGTTATACTGCTCTACACTTAAACAGCAAATACTATCTACTCTTCGTTTTGTTTGATTTGAAAATCAATCAGATCATTAATTTATTTTTGTAAATAAATTTTATTTTATTTAACTTTATTTAGTAAATTAATTCAAAATATTATTATTTAGAGATTTTGATTACCTATTAATACTTAACTCGTAAATTATATGACCTTAACCTTGAAAATCAGTAAATTGAACTAAATACTGTTCTCCTAGCAATTTGTATTAATACACATTGACTGTATAGACTTTTTCTGGAGATCTTTGAGTAAACTCATAGAAAGAGTGTTGATGCTATCAGAGTTTTAATGTTTCTAATGTGTTTTAATTTTTAAAACTTTTTACTTCAAATAAATAATAAAGAAATTTTCTGTTGAAATTTTAAGGTTTTTTTTTTTAATGCAAATTTTTAACATTGCCATTTACAGCATTTATTAACTAACTAGCAGACCCCGCTACGCGTTGTTGTGGCTCAAAATGTATCTATTATAAATGTATAACACTTCCCCCGTGGGGGGGGAATTTTTCAAAAAATTTCTTCTTAGTGTACATTCTGTTGACGTACCCTGTTAAAACACAATCAAAAAAGCAAAAAACCGCATCTGAAATAGTATAAATAGAAGCAGAGTTCTTTACTGTAAGCCTTAATCCTGTCCATCTCCCCCCAGTGCGGGAAATTTTGACACGTAAACACGTGCGCATTCGAATGCAGCGTTATGTCAAAATTTCAAAGGAATCAATAGGAACAAACAAACATTACATTTTTATTTATATAGATAGGTAGAAATGATCTGCTTTAGTTCATTTACACAGAAAAGTGTAATGCCTGACAGAAAAGTAAACTTAGGGCGTTGTACTCGTAGCGCCATCTGTTGGAAATAAAAGCCTTAACCTAGATTATATATTTTAATTTATATGAATGTTTATCGGAATAATATACAGCCTATGTCCACCCTGAGGTTCCATTCTAAATATTGGTGAAAGAATTTTTGAAATCGGATGAGTAGTTTCGGAGATTACCTGCTGCAAACAAACTTACATACAAACATTACCTCTTTATAATATTAGTATAGAAGTATAGATTGACTTTTTCTCAATATTTGAATTTTATGTTGAAAAGTACAGATCATAATATTGCATAACATATAAACCAAAAAATTAAATTTGAATAATTTACAATGCAATCATCTTCATTGTCAGGATATAGTTTTTACATTTGATTATCCCAGTTTCTGAAATAAACATTGTTTATTCTTCAATTCTTCTACAATAATTTTGTTTAAGTAGTTTCGATAACTTTCCTAGTGACATTGAGATATATTATGTTGAAATATTTTACTTAGAAAATTTTTTTTTAATTATCAATTAAATTTTATTTTTTTGTTGATTATAAAATTGATTGTAAATTTTTAAATTATTTTAATGTTATGAATTATATAAAAAAATCCTCAAACTTTAATATCCTGAAATAATGTATTCTTCATAAATTTATTTTTAGAAACTGGAAGAGAAAATTTACTTCACATAGGAATTATTTGTGATAATTGTGAACAACCAGTCAGAGGTATCAGATATAAATGTGGGTTAGTATTTTTAATAATTGAAAATGTTAATAAATTACAGTAATTGCATCCAACATATGTAAATTATTTAATTTTACAGAACATGTGCAGATTATGATTTATGTGAAAAGTGTGAGAATCTTCCTAATATACATAATCCACGTCATATTTTTTTAAAAATTCGTCATAACATGTATAATCAGTTCACAAATTTGAGTGATGAACAATTACCAGCAACACATCTCTTATCACCACATCTTTTGACTTCCATAAAAACATTGCCAGCTGTAGTAAGGGGTTCCTTGAGGTACGATATAATAATTACTTTAAATTATTATATTTTTAGAATCATTAAATTGTAAATCATGTTATAATGCATCTTATATATTAGTTTCACTAAAACATTAAATAATTATGTTATATCTTATCATATATAATGAAATATCCAGACATGTTGATATTAAATATGTCTAAGCATTTCTATAGATTTAGTAACAATTAAATTAACATTATAGTCCTCTGAAAATTAAATTCTAAAATGAAAATGAAGACAAGATTATGGCTGTTTATAAATATCAAATAAAAATAAGAGATATCAAAAGACACATTGTTTATTAAGTTTTCATAAAATGATAAGATATGAAATAAATATTTTATTTTTCATTTATTTTTTTAGTATTAAAACTACTTAATACAGCTATGAAATTTGTTTTTACCAGTTGCATTGTTATGAATGAATATTGAAGTATTTGATCAAGGTGTTCTGCTGATAATTAATATTTCACAAACACTCAAAAATTTTTCAAAACTAACATATTACATGTAATTATTCATAATTAAACCAATTTTATTTATAACTAACTAGTTCTACTTAATACATGATAATATCACTGAAAGGTGAGATTATCTAATTATAATCTACTTACGTTAACATGTACTGTATAGTAAGACCCCATTTAACATAGGGGATGTGTTCCTAGACAACAAAGCACTAATGTTTAACAGCATTAAACGAGGTCATTTTAACATAAGTAGGGAAAGGAGAACATGCGACCAAAAATGAACAAATTTTACTTTAATTTTAAGTTATATTATTATACAAATTAATATAAAAATATGTTAAATAACACACAAACATATGCACACAGAAATGTATAATAATATATTAATTAGTTTATTTTTTCTATATTAATAGTTCATTTTTTGTGACGAAGGTTCTGACTTTTCTGAAATTCTTGTTTTTTTTTTTTTTTTGCAATAAAGTCATGAAGTTTCATTTGTCACTTTTTTCTTTCCTTAATTAAGCAAATTTCAGTAGCAGAAGATCGCATCCAAAACGTCAGATTTTGCACTCCTTTCAAAATCTGGATCATTCGCTACAATTTGATCAATGATTTCAGTTATCTTACCAGTAAATCTGTAGAGAAATTTTTTGGGTTCTTTATTTTCAGAATCTCTATTTTCCAGTTCCACATGAATTCCATGTTCTGCCAGTTCTTGAAGGTCATCATTGGTAAGGCTCTCACCAGAAACCTGCTGTAACTCCTCAATATCCTGCTCATCTATATCTCCTAGTCCTGCTATATCGATAAGGTTGAGTTTGGTCAACCTAACGATATATCAATAGGCTCTTCTTGTTGAGAATTCTTGGATACCTTCAGCCATAACTTCTTCCACAGTTTGTTCGGGCATTTATCAGTTAATTCTTGCCAAGCAAAGTCAATATTTCCTATGGCATCCATGATGTTATATTTTTTTCCGAAATTGCACCAAATATAGATATAACGAAAGTACACCTTTTTGCTACCTTTTGCTGATTGGTTTGTGTTCACAAATAATTGTATTAATATGAATCAATGGAATGTTGCAATAATTTAAATTGGTGTAAATATTGAGCTTTTTTTAGGCTTCAAGCAGACTGTGTTATATCGAATCAGCATTAAACGGGGTCTTACTGTATTTCTGCCTTGATATAAATGTCATAATTAAATGTCAGATATAAATATATTCTTAGCTTATCGACAAATTTCTCAGGAAAATTTTAGTTTTGCATAGCAAGTATCAAATTGAAAAAAAAAAAATGTTTTTAGTATGTAATTTCAGTATGATGTCTTTTAATAAATTTTTCTTCATATTTGCACTTAATAGATGATGAATTTTTCTGACAAAATTGAAAATAGATATGTACTGTACTTTCTAATGAGAAAAACAAATTCAATAAATAAATTTATTTAATTAAATTAAATTCTATAAATTTTAAAAACAAAACGATTATATTTTTTTTTATTATACATTAAAGTTCAAATCTGTATATGCTTAATATATAGTATTGTTAGTAAAAATTTTGTTAAGCTTATAATTAAAAAGTGAAAACTGTAATTCATTAACAACCATCTGTCTTGACATAAATAGTCATATCAACTAACAAAAGTATTAAAATGACTTTAAAATTCTTATTATTATAATTAAATCTGCTTAATACAGATTTAATTAATTGCAAATGTAGAAACACATCTGAAGTATTTTTGTTAATACAGTAAAGTTATAAGTTAAATGCACTCTTTGAGAATAGAACAAAAATGTGTGTAATGCAAAATTACATTTAAGTCAGAAATTCACATCAAGAGAACACTGTGTGTGTGTGTGTGTGCTTTTTTAACATATTAACTAAAAAATATAGAAAATATAGATTTATGGCTACATTATATTGTAAAATTACATTATTTTATCTCATTTTATTATGTTTATTTAACATTTTTGGTATCAGCTGAAAAATTATAACTTTTTATTTGAAATATCACAATCATTTTGTTAAAATTTTTATGAAAAACATACGCATTTATTTTAAAGAGTGATAAATAGGCAACTGAGTGTGATTTGGTCAATCATTTACTCCATGATATCATGGTATTCTTTAAAACCTTGCAACCAACTTGTAGATGTTTTAAAATTTTTCAAAATAATCATTTTTCTCAAGAATTGTAAGGTTTTCTTCTTCAGCATATTTTTATTTGTAGGGATATTTTGCTTGTTACATTTAAGACATGTTCTAGATCTCCATATTTGCCTTCTTGAATTTATAAGCATTTTTTGAACATTTTTGAAAACTTGGGAAGTGTTTACAAAACATACCTTCATGTTTATTGTTTTTACTAAAATGGTGCATAATTTCATAATTAGTTTTTAAGTGGTCTACCAATTGTTTTTTGTAAGATCAGATTTTCTTCATATTTTGTAATTTCTTGATATTTTGAAGTGAGGTAACTTTTCATTTTGGTAATGAATGACAGTTTATAATTTAAGATAAAAACTAACTTCATAATTACAGCATATCTTTGTGTAGAGCTAAACTTATTCTTAAGTCTCTGTCAAAAAGCCATAATCAGTTCAAATGCTTGAGTTTTCCCATTTGAAACATATGAAAATGTCCATAGACTTGTGAAATGAGACTAGATATTACTCTTAATCATACTTTCAGCATTAACAAGTTATATGCTTACTGAATTTTAATAATTACTTATCCCACTATACAGTTTTAATGATCAGTATATACAGATCAGAAAGAGTATCAAGAGAACTGATAGTTTATTAATATAAACAAGAATTACATATAATTCAATTACACATAAATGAATAAAAAAAATACATGCTAGTAAATGACATATGTCTGTTGGTACTGATATGTTTGAAAGAAAATTAAATGTAAATAGATTATTTATAATCAGTGCCCTTTAAAAAAATCACTACTGTTACACATATATGGTGACTAAAAGTAAAGCTCTATTTTAGGAAAAATATAACAATAACTAAATAGTTTTATAAAATTTCAACAATGGAATCAATATATTTTTTTTTATAAGTTAAAGAGGTTATGTTTAAAAAAGAGTAAAAGTTAAAAACTTTAAAACTTCTCATAAAAGCAACCATGAGAAAATATCCATCTCATTCTTTACAGATTTTTGAGGAGACTTAATTAAAAAACTATAGACTACAGTTTTATTTTAACAAGAATCAAACTTTATTTAATATTACCTCCTTCTGTTATCCACTATTGTTTAATATTACTAAATATATTTTTTTATTCTAAATTTATACATTATATTGTAGCATTTATAGTTTTTAAAAATTTTTTTGTATATACCTATCTGTACTTTCTTTCCTATTGGATTTAGTGTTGGTTACTAAATGGTGCTTTTTAATAACTGACATTTTTATTTTACTTTGATGGCCTGATAGGCTGCACCTTAACTATTCAGCCATCACTCTGGGATTAAATCTAGATGGGCTGAAAAACCATGGGAATATTTTAACTAGTATTCTGTCCAGATATGTCAGTCCCAGTCTCTTGCCATTTGAGCCTAGCTAAACCCATAATGATCTTGTAAAAAGGTCCTCTAGCACCAACAGGACAAAAGTTTTTTCAACATTTTTATCTTTCCCTTTCAAAATGTCATTAGCACATCTTTGTACTCATTTTTTGACAAGAACTTAGCAGGGCAGATAATTAGTGGACAGTATTGTTCATTCATGAAAAGATGGCCTCCAACAAAGTCCCCACTCCAATTTGTCTTTTACATCAGCTACAATTGGTCCATGATATTCATTGTGGTCAATAATGGCTCAATTCATTTTTATCATGCCAGTCATGAGTCACCTTGCCTGAATATAAAGAATTTTTCATACTGAACAACTACAGTAGTCACCACTGAACTTAGACCAGGCTGCAGTTAACATGCCATCCAATTGATAGGTTTAAAAAAAAGTAACTTTGATTCATTGCATGAATGTTTTACATAATTTAAAACAAATATTCAGTAATTAATCTTTATTTTTGCTAAATATCAACTTGATATCTTGCAAGTTTAACAAAATTGAGCCAGTTAAACTTGAGTCACAGGCATAAAAAAAAAACATAGATTGCTGCGTCATCCTGTCAATGAACATAGACCACTGCATGTTTAATATTTTGTTGCATCAGCTTTTGCACCATAATACCTTCCATACATTTAGGCATGCTGTTGACTAGATGTTCACATTCATCTGCAGTTATGGAATTCCAGATAGTTAAGATGGAAGCTTTTAGTCCTTCAACTGTTTGAGGGCACGTTTTTCACATATGTCTCTTCATAATGTTTTGTACATTCTCAATTGGTGAAAGATCTGGGCTGTTGGATGCCAAGGAAGAACTTCTATGTTCTTTTCTGCAAGCCAGTGTTTTGTTTTTCTACTTGTATGACCTGTGGCCCATTCTGCTGGAAAATGCAGGTTCTATTTGGATATAGCTTTGCTATGGACAGAATTAAAACT